ACTAGATGTAAGAATGATTTCTAAAGTTATATAAATATAGGCTATAGGTGGGCATAATGGTGATCTCTGATGAGTTGGAATTTGTTTCATATAAAAGATGGTAACTTCAATTCCTTCTTGATGTAGGATATTGGTATAGAGTGATGTGACATCTGCAGTTACAGAAATATAGTTAGTAGAAGTGAATTGGTGGGACTGAAGCATATGAAGAAAATGAGAAGTATTTTTGATATATGGGAGGGGAGAGATTCTGTCAATGTTTGTATAAAATGTGTGATGAACTTAGATAAATGGTACGTTGGGCCATTACATGCTAAAACATTAGGTCGTAACGGTATATCCTCTTTGTGAGTTTTCGGTAATCCGTAAAAATAGGGCAGCGACAGGGTGTGTCAGGTTGTAAAAAATTTGCTATTGTTTCGTCGATTATGTAGTGGACAGCCATGTAGTCTATTAGAGTGGTAATATCATTTATCATTTTTTCCATTGGATTATGGGGCAGGAGTTTATAAGTATTAGTATCACTTATTAGTTGGTTTATTTTATTTTCATACTGTCCCTTATCTAAAATGAAAACCCCACCATCTTTATCTGCTCTCTTGAATATGATATCCTTATTATTATGTAGTCTCTCCAATGCTATAGACTCTACCGATGAAAGGTTGTTTGTAATTTTGGGTTTGAATTTTTTCATAATTGTCTCAATGTCTCAATCAATCTGTAAAAAAAATTAATTTATATTTTGGTTATTTGTATTTGGAGGTGTCCGTTGTGACTTTTTATGGAACGGATGAGTTAATTAATCTTTGTCATCTTTACCATAAAAGACTCTTAGATTAATGGATCGTTTAAATCTCTCCACTGCCTTACTAAATAAATTATCATGAATATAATTTGAGTAAAGTATAAATGAAATACCTTGTATAAGATTTGTTCCACATAATTAGACAAAAGATATTGTAAAAAATTAGTTATTAGTTTCTCATTAAATAGTTTTGTAAGTTTTTCTTTTTCTACTTTAATCAAATGTTTATATTCTTTATTGCTTTTTACATGACTTGATGGTAAAAACAAATTTTTCATCGAAATTGGTGGACAAATTATTTGTTTATTTGATGGGTTGAATATAGATAAATTATTGTTCTAGGACGCAAAAAGTAACGGATAATAGAATATAGTATACATAAGAGAATCTGGTCATAAAGATATGAGTTAAAAGTAAAGATATAAAATAAAATGATGGTAATGAGTATTGAGAATATAATTATATACAGCATAAAGTATTATCCCATTATATTCTCAACAGAAAAATAATATGATACTTATATAGATATACATTCATAGACACATATACCAATCGTAGTCGAAGAAAGTATTGAATGTCCAATAACAATAGAGTCAAGTATTATTGTTTTATTACTAGAAATCAGCGTGAAAACTTCTAATCCCGAAACACATCTAGCCAATCCAGCCATACTACAAATGACCTTTGATGGATATAGCATCCATACGACGGATTTATATTATCTACTGGTTCTAAAAGTTAGCTCAGTTATGTACCAGAAATAAAAGCACTCTCCCGCGGAAACAGCAATTATTTATGTAGCCGTATTTATGTATTTTTGTCATATTTGTAAGTAATAGTGATAATTAAAATAAAAATCAAATAGTGATAAAATTTTCACAAATAATATACTATAATGGCATAAAAAGCAAAACGCAATTTAGATAAATAAAGAAAATAATATAAATATAAAATATGAAGAAAATAGGAAAAGTGATAAGTTGAAAAAATAAAACCGTAAAGGCAGTGTGTTAAAGTCTTGTATGGAAAATAGTCATAGCTCTCTAGTCTCAACATAAATAATTTTAAAAAAATGCAAAAATATGCATCAAAGGACATACATTAGGGTACATTGTCGTAAAAGGGTACATAATACTTTTAGAATTTTTGATTTTTAATTCGGCGGATAATTTTTATGGTGCCACTATATAAATTTTTTTTTACCTAGACGAGATTACAGTTTTCGAAAAGGTAAAACTTTCGAAAAAAAAAAGGTAAAACTTTCGAAAAGGTAAAACCTTTTTAACTAGGCAATCCCGCCTAGGTAAAAATTTTTATTTTTTTATTTTTTTTTTGGAAGTTAATATTTACATATAGTGGACAATAAAATTTATCCGCCGAACTAAAAATCAAAAATATTAAAAGTATGATGTACCCTATTACGACAATATACTCTATTACATACAAAAATAAGATGTACCCTAACATACATGCTTCGACTTTATCATAACTATCCTCTATTAAAATATATTAAAATGCTTAAATCAATTTATAAAATTAAGTTGAACTATTAGAGACCTTATAATAATAAATTAAGTTGAAAGAGACCTTATAATAAAAAATACAATAAAATTTTATTAGTATTAATCATGCTAGTTTTTTAATTTATAATTAAAACTCAAAGAAAACACATAGAGAGAGTGGAAAGAACCCACTGTTAATAAACAAGTGAACCATGTAAAAATGACACTTTCAATCTAGTTCCTTTTAACATTACCGGTTTTATTATCGTTTTTAAAAAATTTTGCTACATCTTTTAATTGCGTTTTTATTGTTATAAATATTATAACATATTATATCATACGTACTAGATTTAGCTGTCCTCTTTTGTTTTTATGATTACTTTTTGGGTAGTGTTCTACTGTTCTATTCTACTGTTTGTTCTTAAGAATATATCAGTGTTTACATTCTAATAAGAAAATGTTACGGTTTTTGGTTTTAGTAATAAGTCTATTCGGTAGTTCAACAAAACAAAACTTTACGTAGAAATCAGTATTTTATACTGATTATGAGGATAGAACTCTGAGGGGGATATAGAAACTGGTATTTCAAACATTAAAAACGTGATATTACCAAATTCGGAACCCCCTCAAAATAGTTAATTCCACTTCCGTTTCCTGACGAGAATCTACTATTCTACATTAGATAATTAACAATTTTACTCAACACTGATGTATTTTTACTTTATGTTGATTTATGTAATTCATAAAAATATTTTTATTAGGCAGTCAGCATTTGCTTTAGAAAATTTAAACTATTTTTATTTCTAAATTCCATTATTTGAAATTTAGCTAAGTCTTTGGTTTTTACATTCTTGTTTTGGTTTTTTAATTCCAAATAATTTTCACGACGAAATCATGCTGTCTTTATGATTTAAATTTTCGCTTACATAAATCTTTGTATTTACATTTTAATTTGGGGTTTGTTATTCCGGATATACTTCTGAAAGAAGTCATGTCGTTAGAACTTTCGCTTCTAGTCAACTTTTTCGCAAATAAACATAATCTGACTCGGTCTCATTGGTTTAAATAATTTCTATTTTTAAGTACGAATAATCGTATTTCATTTAATTTTAATAAGAAATTAATATAAAATTAAATTACTAACAATAACTTAATATAACTAAAATAAATTATAAAGTTAATTAAAAGTAAATTATAAATAATAAATAATCAATCATTTAATTTTTTATCTTTAATTAAGTCTAATTCAGAGTATATATATATATATATATATATATATATATATATATATATATATATATATATATATATATATATATATATATATATATATATATATATATATATATGTATATATATATATATGTACATATGTACATATATATATATACAGTATATATGTATACATAAACATATATATACATATATACTGAAATATATATACATATACATATATATATATATGTATATATATATATATATATATATATATATATATATATATATATATATATATATATATATATATATATATATATATATATATATATATATATATATACATATATATATATATATATATATATATATATATATATATATATATATATATATATATATATGTATATATATATATATATATATATATATATATATATATATATATATATATATGTATATATATATATATATATATATATATATATATATATATATATATATATATATATATATATATATATATATATATATATATATATATATATATATATATAAATGTATATATAAATGTATATATATATAGCAATCGTAATTGTAATACAAACTGCCTTGACGTTCGCTATCGTCGCTGAACATAAAACTTATACTTTGACAGCAAATAAAAAGATGTTAAACCATTCTAGTTTTAAACGAATTTACTGTCTTTGCAGATACCACTTTTTCTAGTATTTCTATGAGGAATCACTCTATTTGTTATAAAATTGTATCTCAGAGTTGTTTTAGCGAAGTTCCTTTCAAATTTCAGTGAAAAACCTCTTAGAATTTGGAAAGAAGCTTTACAAAGCTCTTTACACCACAACATTTCGTCAACCCCAATTGTTATTTTGTAACATAATTTTAATGCAGTAATTGTAACACAATTTTAATGGAGTTAAAAACATTTTTTTTCATTGATGTATAATAACCTGGTTAGTATGCATACCAAAAAAATATTTTTTTAGTAAAAATTACGAGCCAAAATTGTTCAAAACAGTTAAAGTTTTTTTAATTTTTACTAGTATTATGGATCGTTAAGCAAATTTCTAATTTATAATAAAGTATAACAAATACAAACTTTCCAAATTTTTTTGGGAGTCCACGGGGTTGGGATGAGTGGGTGGTTGGGGGTTGTTTCTATCTTTTTAAAACAAAATACTAGTAATTATTTTAGTTTGTGCATGGAATGTAAAAAAAACTTTATAAAATTGTTTTTTATGAGTTTGAAAAATATTTTTTTGTCGATTGTAAACCAACCCGTTAAAAAAAATATTTTTTATAATGCAAAAATACTTAAAATTCGAAAAACCATTACACCCACACAAAAATTAAGAAAAATATTTAAAGTTTCAGGAATGTTTTCATGAAGAGTTTTAATGGTGAAGCAACACATTTTAAAATTGAAAGTAAAACAATTTGTAGAATAAACAAAGTTATTTTTAACTTTGAAAACGAGTTAAAAACGAACAAGACCTTAAACTATCACATAATTTTTATCTCACTCATTTCAGCAAGACAATACAGCTGTTTTGGGAATCCGTTGAAATGTCACATTTTGGAATTCTGTTTACGTTATTTGCTTTGACATTTGCCTTAAGTTAGTATTTGATATACATTTTCTAATTTAGTATATATAAGATATTTTTCTGCCTTTAAAAATAATGTAAAACATGTATTTATACACCTTTTATTTTTTTAGTTATGTATATAAAATTTTTTTGTTCTTTTTATTACATATAATAATAAAAAAAGTATAAATAATGATCGTTATTAAATGTGAGTTCTTTAAGCTTTTGTTTAAAAGAAAAGTATTTACTTTGATGAATAAAATTCTCAGTAAAATTTTTTATTCCATAAGAATAATCTAAGTTTGAAATTTTTCTTTATAAAAATATTTATTACGTAGGCTACGAAGTAAACGAAGAAAATAACAATGATTATGAAAAAGATGTATTAGATAATCTTGAGGATAGCGAATTACATGATTCAGGTGTTTATAATTACTACTATTTGTTTATTGTAAATTTTAAAAGCCAAGTACGATAACAAGATCAATTTATAACTTTTAATTTAACTAATCAAACTAGGTTAAATCATTGATACATCTTTTTAGTTTTTAAATATTACGTAAAATTGTTTGGTGTGAAATTTGTGTCGGTTTTAAGATCTGTTGACGTTTGATGTTTTTTTTTTTTTTTTTTTTTTTTTTTTTTTTTTTTTTGTTACTTACCTCCTAAAGGCTGAGAAGGCTACTACAGACGAGGAGGCTACTTAATAGTGGTTATAACCTTCTCTCAACTCTATAAATCCGAAACACGAACCTTGACGAACAAAGCCCCTGCGCGGAGAAATAAGTTGAGTGCGGTACTACCAGGGACGTGGTGGGGATCGAACTGTATTGGTACATTTCATTTTTCTATAATACTCTTTTCAATTTGGATTTGCTTCGTTTAATTCCATCTCATGTAATTGTGAAAGATTCATCAGGTGTAAAACATTCCGCCAAATTTTGTTTGATTCTTGGCCCATGAGTTGACTTTCCTGTCAATGTTAACCCAAAACTGAAATGTTACCCCAAAACTGTCAATGTTACACCAAAACTGAAATATGCGTCTAAAAAAAAATACTACAAAAACTTTTTAAATGCTTGGTATTTAGAAACAGCCTCATAAAAACAGATGTAAAAATGATATTATGCATAGTTTTACTTATCTTTTCACTAAAGTTTTTTAGTAACAAAATATCTAGAAACTAGTTTAATTTCAGCCCTCCGTATTGTGTTGTTATTTTGTTACACTTACTGCTATGTGGATAAAAATTGTTCTGTATGTTCATTTAACTGGGTGCAACATCTCTTAAGTTTATTTTAACGATAATCAAAGAGTGACTGGTAAAAACATTAAATCTAATACATATAAATGTTACCCACATGTCAAAGTAAAGCATTACCTTATATAATGAATAAAGTGCTTGCATCGCCTAAACATATCTTACTCAACATGATTTGACTAATATTGCCGGAAATCCTACATTTTTCAAAATCGTTTTTTATTTGTCTGACTAACTTAGGTTAATATTGAATAAGTAATGATAGTTGTATAATAACAATGCATTATTATTCCAATAGTTTTAAATGTAATATTATAGTTTTACGTCGTTTGCTTGAATTAGCATATAATCAAGATCATTTTACAATCTCCTTAGTCATTTTAGGGGCTTCTTTTAAAATATTGGTGAAAATGTAATGCATACACAGTCTTCTATTAAGCGAAAAATGAGCTGCATCTTAAACGTGATATTTTTTTAATATAATTGTTTATAAACTAAAATAAATAAAAAATACAACCCAGAATTATTTTTTTAGCATTACGACCGTTATAGATATAAACTTATGTTTTAATTTAACTTCGTAAAAAATAACTTTTAGCTTGATACGTTTATTTAACAAAATTTTTTATGTAGACTCAAAGGATGATAGTGAAGACAACGAAAAAGAAATCTTAGAAAGTTATGAAGATAATGATCCCTTTCAAAGCAATATTAAAAGTAATTGTTTTTTTAACTTAAATTTTTTTTTTTTTTAAAAACGGACTTAACTGCGTTTGGTATTTTCATTTTTTTAATGGTATGCCTAATTAAACGCCGTACAGGTTTTAAATATGTCAAAGGTGCGCGAAACGTCAATACAGATTTTTAAACTAAAGTTTCGAGCTTTTTTAAAGAACGGATGTGAACAACTTAAAAAAGACAATTTGTCGGAAAGTTTAGAACAAGTTAGTACAACAACTTTCAAATAATTTTTAAAAATACTTTAACTTTTTGCAATGAATGTCAAAAGAATTTAAAACATCATTTCATCTTTGCGTGAGACCATTAAACGCTGTGGAAAAGCGAAACTTAAGAAATCAGAAATTGAGAAGAAAAAGAAAGACAATTAAAAAAATATAATGTCTGCAATCTTCTAACAGATTTTAAAGAGGACGAGATTATTTTTGAATAAAAGTTGACCTCAAACAAACTGCAAGCACCAAAACTCTTGTAAAAGCAGTTGATTGTGAGTTAACGTAATCTAAACCGCTCAGTTTCAAATTTGCCGGAGAAACCGGAACTTTAAGGCGGTTGATGCAAAAAATTATCTACAAAGATTAAGGTCTGAAGAGCTTTTTAAAACATAAATGACACTTACTGACTGAAACAATAAGAGAAAAAACGAGCACGCTTTTTGTTTTGCTTTCTCCAAGTTCACAACATTCCTGTGGTTTATGAAGACAGAATCATTCCGAGAGGATAACACCCTGTAAGGGTAACAGTTTGGGTCAGGATCTGTTCTGGCAGATCTCAAAACTCTTATATTTTTTGTTTCAGAGAGGATAAAAATTAATTTAGAAGCTTATAATTGATTTTTCAGTGAGCAGTTGTTTCCCTGGTCTAAGAAAAAGTTTAAACAAAAGCAGGGGATCTTTCAAGAGTATTCTTCCCACGCTCATCAAGACAAGAAAACTGTCAAGTTTCTCCAGGATTAAAATTCCTCATGTTTAGCAACATGAAAAATGACCACCCTCATAACTTTACTTTAATACAAGAATTTTTGCATTTGGTCAGTGATAAAATATATACAGTCAATGAAAATATATTGAAATGTGATGGCTCCATTAAAATATATTGAAATGTGCTCCAAAGAAAAATTGACTAAGAATATAACTAAGAATTGAATAAAACTTGATAAGAACATGTTGTGAAAGAACATGTTGTGAAAGAACATGTTGTGAATGTTTGTGCACAAACATGTTTACACTTGAACGTCTGAAGTCAAATAAAATGGATTTCATCATTCACATCATTTTATCGAAAGTTATTTTAAACAAAAGTAGTTTTTTAATTCTACTCTGCGTTCAGCTTATTTGAAAATAAACTATTTCCAATAATAATTTCAAATCTAATCTAATTTTCAAATATTTTAATTCTCAACGTTTACTGCACACCTATAAAGTTATGTTGGGCTAACTTTAAATCTAAAACTTATTACTAACATTAACCCAATGCAAAGCCAAATTTGTAAAAAAATCATAATAACGTTATCTAAAAGGTTTTAGCCCAACCTATAAAATTCTTATGTTAACATAAATACCAACATACGGCTGACTATAATACTTCCATGGACTTGTAAAACTAGAAGAGATTATATCAATGGAGAATAAAGCTCCGATCAGTTTTGACGGTGTCACCTGGTATATTTTTAATAATAACGTATAAAACAATATTTCAAAAAACATAAAAATTAGTTAACCAAGATTAAAATATTTAAAACATCATTAATTAACATCTCATTTAATTACACCTGAATAAGTATAAGAAAAGATTTTATGCAGTTATATTTTATTTACTTACTTATATAAATGTAAACTTTTTATATTACTTTCAATGAAACTAAAACTTAAATCTAGATAAATCAGTAACTGTTTCAATATAAATAAATAATAATAAATAATAAATGCTTCAAAAATTTGAATTTCTTAAACTTAAACTTTGTTATTAATATTATTCTTAGATTAATTTAATAAATTGTAGTATATACCTGGAAACAGTTTTTACGTGAGTTAATTTGTTCGGTAGAGTTAAGTGCTAGATCTAAGTTGTATATAAATAAAGTAAAAAGTTATCTTACATTAATTTAAGTTTATTACAAATAAAGCTATTTTAAGACTTTAAACTAGGTAATTTCAATGAAAACACAAGGCAATTTGACCATGCTCATATTACACACAAACGCCATCTTTAAATAAAGCCAAAACTAAATGTTTTTATGCATTGTTTTTCAAACAAAAATGGATTGGATTTTTTGCTAACATATTTTTCTTTATGAAAAAAATTAATTTCGTTATTTTAGCACCAAAATTTCGCGCCACAGACTTATTCATGCGTGATGATATTATTTTAACAAAACAAAAATTTAACAGCGCTTTAATTAGATGATAGCCGCTAATTACTGCATATAAATTTACACTAATTGTACTGGTTCCTGTTATCACCGCATAAATTTGATTCAAAAAATACAAAGCAACTTTAATTTCACTGCTTACATCTAAGAACTCTTAAAGAATGCTCATATTACTAAGGTGTTCATATTACCCTAATCTACCCTTTATCTTTACTTATAATTATTACATAGTTTGGTATGTAAAGTAAGTGTTTAAAGTATAATTTATTTGGTATTGTGGTTTATCCTCCTCCGGCTAGTTGCCATATAGAGGCCACATTACCAAGGTACCGCAAAGACAGATTCGGCTCCCCAAGGAGCGTCATAACCCGCTCTACGGACCAAGAGTAAAGTGAGTTTAGGAAAAATGAAGATATGTTAGAGTGAAAGACAGAAAAAGTCGTGTTAGAAAGATAGCATAGAGAAAGCGGACAGGATTGCACCCGATGTTGAGATGTGCAATAAGTTGAAATAGGGACTAAAAACACAGGGACTAAAAAGTTTCAGTATGTGTTTTTTTCCGTAGAAATTAAATTAAAAGTATAATTTATTTAATTTATACAAGTTTTATTAATATGTAAATGAGTACATAATACTTAAAAAAGTATATTTACATAATATTTAATTATGGGTATATTTAAAATTATTTAAAATGTATAAATACAATGCCTAGACTAACTTAGGTCTATTTTTAAATATTATGTGAAGTAATATAATATTTATGAAACCATAAACAGTTATAAAAAAAAAAAATCCTGTAAAGCATTACAGGAAGTGCCCCATTTGACCCTTAAACATTATACAGGTCCCTAATATTATAGACAAAAAAATTTTTCTCCGTTTTCTTGAGTCAATTTTTTTCAGTGGCGTTTTTTTAAAATATGACTACTATTTTTGTCATTTTTAGAAAATTTTAGTTCTTTTCAACATGGCATATTTTTTAAAGAATACTTTTTCTATAATATCAGGGACCTGTCTGATGTTTAAAGGTAAAAATGGGGCGTTTAATGTATAATTTTGTAATAATAAACAACAATTAAATACAAGTTTAAAGCAATATATTTAATTCTATTTATTTAAAAAACACTAAATTTTATACTGTTTTGTTTTTCTTAAGTGCAACGACTTGAGCAGCCTCACCTTAAATACTCAAAACGACAATATAATTTTGCACGAGCATGCGAAGGATACAATCTGATAATCAATTGCCACGGTCATGGAAAAATTAAAGTGGTTTATGCAAACTATGGTAGAACCTCGTCTCGTATATGCTCTCGTCGCAGATCTTTTTTCAGAAGAATTATTAATCCTATTTATTTGCGTAATAACTGTGACAATCATAAAAGTTCGACAAAAGAAGTTCGTAGCAGGTGTTCAGGTAGGTCATCTTGTATTGTTCAAGCATCGAATGGAGTATTTGGTGACCCTTGTTTTGGAACTTATAAATATCTTGAAGTGCAATTTTATTGTAAAAGGAAACACCATTTTATTCATCATATTTAATCGAAAACCTTTTTTAGCGACAATGTAGAACTAAATTTACCTTACGATTTGATTTAATTATATGTAAACACGGACATGGTCATGGTATAAGACCATGACTTTAATATTTTCAATAAAATATTTCACCACAAATGACGTTGTTTTTTATATTTGTAATCATTTTATAACCTTTGTAAAAGCATATAATTTCTTGATATTTACCTAAATGAAAAGGAGGATCTAAGATTCGTACTTCATTTTGTAAAACTTTTGTAAACGTTTTGAGTAAATAATTTGTTTCTAGCCCGGTCTTTAACCCTATTCCATTCCAGGCAGTAATTTAGGAAGCCATACACAGATGCGACAGAGTATACTCAGTAAGGACATGCTCATCTAACTATTGTCGGTTCAATTACGGTAGCAATATCAAACAATAGACCACTAAAAATTTATCGGTTTATTAAAATCGCGGGATTTTGTTCAGATATAATCAATAAATTTATTGTGGCAGACGTTATTTATACAGGCTTTTTAAAAGCGTTCGACAAGGTACCGCACGAAAGACTTTTACATGAACTAAAGGCCTATGACATTCGCGATCAATTATATAAATGGATAAAAAATTGATTGACCAATAGCAAACAACGTGTCAAAATAGATAATAAACTTTCCCCATGGAAAAATGAACTTAGCAAAGTACTTCGGGGTTCGGTTCTAGGTCCGTTCCTTTTTATGCTCTCCATTAATGATTTACCGGACCTAATGTTTAATCATATAAAAAGGTATACAGACGACAGCAGGCTCATAGATGGTATTAAGTAAGATTAAGATTCTCTTTTAAAAAGAACTTTTACACAGTTATTAACTGGTCTAAATAGTGGCTTATGCCATTTAACATTGAAAAATGCAAGTTTATACATATGGGCAAAAAAAAACAACATATCATTTATATACCATGAAATCATAATGGTCACTCAAAACCACAGCAGGATAGTTTGATTTGGAAGTTTTAGTAAGCAATAACATTAAAGTGAAGTTACAAGCTAAACACGCTGCTGGAAATAAAGTTTTAGTGAAATTTAAAGAAGAATATAGAAGTCGTGGATTAACTCTTTGGCGTTTCTTGTATACTACTTATAATAGACTATTATGAGAAGGCCGCCCCAGCGTGGTCTCCATATTGCATAGAAGATATAAATACAATTGAAAAAATTCAGTATTAAACCAAAAAAAGGATTAAGTCAATAAATCACCAAAAAAATGAGGAACGTTTAACGCGGCTTAATTTGATTACCCTTGATTAAGGATGCCTTCCATAAATTAGCGATGATTGGAGCCTCGGAACAAAATATCTATAAAATTAGCGATGATTGGAGCCTCGGAACAAAATATCTATAAAATTAGCGATGATAGGAGCCTCGGAACAAAATATCTATAAAATTAGCGATGATTGGAGCCTCGGAACAAAATATCTATAAAATTTGCTCAAACTAGAGAGAAACAAAGTTATAAAATTTTATTTTTATTATTCTCAAGAAAATTTATGTTCATCAATAAATTTAAAATTTCATACGATAATCTATTTTCGTTGAAAAATTTTGACTTAAATAAAGTTTGATAACTCCTTCCCCCCTAACATCAATATACTGTTCATGCCGCTAACATGACGCCCGTTGCGCTAGCTATAAGAGTCCATTAGAAGCATTCTCAAATTTAATTCACTCTATATATAAAAATAGAATAAACGTTGCAACCTTTTTTTGCTTCTAACTAGTAATATTTAGAATACAAATAACTGTATTGCAATAAACTACTTTGTGGTGATCAGATTGCAAACAACAGATTAGTTTTGATATAGTAAGTTAATAAACTGAGGAATAATTATTTATATATTAAACATGTTTGATGGATTTTAAGGGTAAAGTTTACATAATCAATAGATGCTTACACGAACAAAATATTGTTTTTTTCTCACAAAAAGTTTCTTATATCATTATAAATACATTTTTTTTAAATAACTAATCCATCAGAGCTATTATGCAGCTGAATTCATTTAGATTTTTTAATAAAAAAGTCACATAATGCGACTAATAAAAGATATGGGTTTATATGGTTATTTTTTATAGAGACATAGAATTATTATTTATAGTTATTTTTTATAGAGACAAAATATCTAAATAAAAAATAATATTTTAGTGGTTTGAAATTCAATGTAATTTTTTTTTTCAACCTAGTTATTACAAAACAAAATATGTGACGACTTTCAATCCAGTTAGGATAGAAGGCAGTGTTCAACATTCTCATGAAAACAAATTTTTTTTAATATAGAGTGGTTACTTTTATTTAATAACTGTTATTAATAAAAATGTATACTAGGCGGCTACCTAATAGATATCACCGTTAGAGAACAATATTTGTTATTAGAGCTATTGCAATCGTAAAATATTTTTGAAGTTTTAAACTGGTTAACCTTTTGAAAGTTTTAATATGTAGATAGAAAGTTGTAAAATCTTTGAGTATGATTTAAAAAAAAAAAAAAAAAAATTTGAAGTTTTGAATAAAAATAAGCGCTCAGGATGCTGTTCTAGCTAAAAGTAAACTTTTTGAGAAATTAAAGCTATCCGTGACTGATCTGAAAACTGATTTGTTATTTTAGCTCTTTTATAAGTTATAGCTGATGTAACGTAGCTAGATTTTATGTTTACATCCATCATTATTTCTATATCCATAATAAAAACATTTGCAAAGTTCATTGAAGTTATGTAACATTAAATTCCATTAAGGTTTTTTTTATGTTTGTCGCGGTAAATATGATATAGAAACATTGAATAATAAATCCGAATATTTTGGTCAACAAATGATCGCTAAACATTTTTTATCCATTTTTTGGTTTCGACTAAATATTGACTTACTCTGCGTTTACTCTTGACGACTCTGCGTTTACTCTTGACGACTCTACGTTTACTCTTGACGACTCTACGTTTATTAGGTATTAAGTAAGATTTACAAGTTCAGAATTTTAAAATAAAACAAAATTAAAAGACGAAAAATGTTGATTTTATCAAACTTCATTTCAGTAGCCATAGAATTGTCATTAAAAAATATCTTTAAATTAACTATTATTATATAAATTTGCTAATAAATCTTTAATCTCAGGAAAAGACTTCAATTTCTCAAAACCTCAAGATTATTGATTACACAAATCTTACACACAAAAATACAAATGTACACTCAGATAGTACACATAGATACACAAATATACGGCGTATCAAAAATGTCAAGTATGTTAGTGTGTACTGCAAAAAAGAGTGCTCAATATCTATATGTCAAAAAAAGCATATTATTATCATTTTGAAGTAAAAATATATGAACATGAACATTAATAAAATTAATTTTATTATTCAAAAAATAAAAATGGTTCAACAAATTTATTGCTAAAATTAGGTCTCTTGAAATTCTGGACATATGTTATTTTAGGGGTCGTTAAGCGAATATAAAATTTATAATATAGAACAATAGATTAACTATTTTAGGAGTTTAGTGAGGACTGTCTTTGCAAAAACTAAATATTTATAAGCCTTTATGTTTTATTTACAATGTTAAAACTTATTTATTATATATAAAAAAAAAAAAAAAAATTATGTGGATTTAAACAGCCCACACAAAATACTTTGTGTGAATTAAAAAATATTGTTGCGTGGGTTTGGAAACTGCATATCAAAAAATATTTATTTTTTCTAAGGCAAAAATGACCCAATTTCGAATTACCTTTATATCTTAAAAAACCAGCACACCCACACATAAATCAATATAAATATTTTGAGTTTGTTACCGGAATGTTTTCATAAAGAATATTATTAGCGAAACAATGGATTTTGTAAGTAAGGTAAAATGATCTATAGAATAAACAGATTTATTTTTACCTATAAAAACAAGTTAGAAACTTAAATCTTATACTATCACATAATATCTTTACCTTGCCCGTTTTCAAAAGGGAAGCAAAGTATTTTTGAAGTCCGCTAACATGTCATTTTTCGGAATTCTTTTGGGATTGTTTGCTTTAACCTTTGCAACAAGTAAGTCTTTGATACACATTACCTATATAACTTAAATACTTTCTGTTTTTTATAAAGTATTATGTGTTCTCTATATCTTTGCACAAATTCTAATAAATAATTTTTGTATCTATAAATATTAAAGTAATTTATAACAAATGCTTAGCTACTAGCAAACAGAGCAACTAATGAAACATCGCTAAGATAAAGTTCTTTTTTTGTACTAAAAGTTAAAAAAAAATAGTTCTACTTACTTTTTAAAAGCGTTGAATGATACGGCAGAAAAAATATATTTTTCTGAATTAAATTCTACCAAGGTACAATAAAATAGCAAAAAAAGAACTCTCCTTGCGCACAGTTAGTTAATGCCTAAAATTAATGATATTGCACCGGCGGCCTCTGGCTAATCCCTGCACACTCAAAGCAGAGAATAGTCAGATTTCGAACTAGCCAGTCGGTTTGGTCGACAAAGCTTAATTTTATTAGGGCTATGTTACATCTTGAAGTACTAGATAAATCCGTTTATACGCCGTCTATCCTCTATTAATTGAATATTGATCACAGCTAGTTTTCAAAAATACTTAAGAGGTTTAAGTTGAAGTACAAGTCTAGTGGTTCTTTCTTTTACTGTTTCAAAAGTGTTAGTCTCCGCAATAACATGAGTTACATGCGGTAGTTCAAAAAGTTGTGGTGGTACATATGATGTGTATAGTTAGAAAATATTTTGATATCCCTAAAGTGATAAGTTTTTTTCAGCATACCTAATGCAGTGTTTGCCTTGGCTTGGTCAAGCCACTTAAGTTGGTTATTCACAATAATGCTGAGGTCACGTTTGGAGGTCACATTTATTTCATTAATATAAAATATTTTTTTTAATAATCCATATTAAAAATTTTATCTGTAATGTATTTCTTATATAGGCTTCGATTTAAAGGATGAAATTAAAAACAGATATGAAGATGTTTTAGATAACCTTGAAGATGACGATTTAGAAGATAATTCAGGTGATTATTATCACTATTTTTAGCTCTTATTAGTTATATATATATATATATATATATATATATATATATATATATATATATATATATATATATATATATATATATATATATATATATATATATATATATATATATATATAACTAATAAGAACTAAAAATAGTTGTAACTAAATATATATATATATATATAACTAATAAGAACTAAAAATAGTTGTAACTAAATATATATATTTATAACTAATAAGAACTAAATATGTGTATATATATATATATATATATATATATATATATATATATATATATATATATATATATATATATATATATATATATATATATATATATATATATATATATATAACTAAATATATATATAACTAATAAGAACTAAAAATGCGTTTGCACTATATATATATATAATATTATATATATATATATATATATATATATATATATATATATATATATATACATATATATATATGTATATATATATATATATATATATATATATATATATATATATATATATATATATATATATATACATATATATACATATAAATATATATATATATATATATATATATATATATATATATATTCCGGTAACAAACTCAAAATATTTATATTGATTTATGTGTGGGTGTACTGATTTTTTAAGATATAAAGGTAATTCGAAATTGGGTCATTTTTCCCTTAGAAAAAGTAGATATTTTTTGATATGCAGTTTCCATTTATCAAATAAGAATAATTTGCAAAAAATTGCGAATTTTTTTTTTTTTTATTATTCTATTTAAAAATTATCGATAAATAAACTATTTTTATCGATAATATTCATTCAAAATTTATGACTATACAAAACCCCCTCAAATTTTTTTATCAACTTGTTACTCTCAAGTTTGAGGCAATTGTAGCCAAAGTTTTTTCTCAAATACATAAAAAGTCTAAAATACATAAAAGTCTTAAATACATAAAAGTCTCAAATACATAAAAAGTCTCAAATACATAAAAAAAGCTGGATCCACCTCGGTAAACATTATTTTATATGAAGTAAAGTATTAAATGTCAACGATAAAATTAAAAACTAATTTAAAAATGAAATATTAGATAATATTAATAATATAATTCATAATATTATAGATAATATTGATAATAATATAGATAGTATAGTAGATAATATTGAGGAAGGCGAATTGAATGATAAATTAAATAATTATTATTACGTCCATTATTTCTTATTTGTTACTTTTTATTGGTTTATTTATTACTACTTCAGGCGAGGTAACCATAACAAGACATGATTTAATTAGCATAATTTAACATTAATGAAAATACATTGATTAGCATCAACTTTATATCTACACATAACCTACAATGACTGTTAAAAAAAGTCTTAAAATCATGGTAGTTGTGTAATATATATATATATATATATATATATATATATATATATATATATATATATATATATATATATATATATATATATATATATATATTTATAAAAATATATTCGTACAACAAGAAAATGATTTTTAAAGTTTATATATATATATACTATATATATATATATATATATATATATATATATATATATATATATATATATATATATATATATATATATATATATATATATATATATATATTTATATATATATATATATTTTTTTTTTTCCCAATCTCTCGCTTTACAATTTCTCAAACGTTTTCTATGGAGTTAAGATCAGGTGAGTTTCCTGGCCATTGCAATACATAAACTTTTTTCTGATTTAAATAAACTATAACAGTTTACGTTATTGTGTTTGAAAGTTGCACCATTTATATAAGATTTTAGATATTTGTATAACTTTTTTTATTTTCTTTGACATTTTTTGACATTTTTAGACCAGTCTGCCATTTGGGAAAGCAACTGATTCTTCAAAACTTCTTTATACCTCATTGTCCCAATCACTTTGTTGAGAGGCCTTGCTCTTTAAACACACACATGTTAGACCAGATCATTTCTAAAACTGGATGCTTGGCTGTTTCCACAATGCAGTCAGGATAAAACTTTTTATTTGTTCAGCGACGAACAAAAGTTGTTTTGTCTATCATTACTTGAAAGGTTGACTCGTATGAAAATCAAATCTAAAATAATGCTTATTTTAAGTTATAAAATTTATTAAATACTTCAAAATAATTTATGAATATGAAGACAAATAAAAATAATTTTCCCAATTCTTAACAGACCAGTGACAATAGTTTCGAGACCTCTCCAGTCTTTTTTTTTCATGAGTGAAGTTAGTTTTGGTTTCTTGGCTTGACATCAATCCCTCTTCTTTCAGCCTTCTACGAATGGTCCAGTCTGACACAACAAGAGCAGCTTATGGATAAGCTTAGTCAATACGTTATGTGGATTTTTTTCTGTTTTCCAGGCAGATATTTTAGATTATACAGTCCGCCCTTGGTGTTGTCTTGCGTTTAGAAGGTGGTCTCTTTGGACCAAACTCTTCCCTTTTAAAAATTTTTTTCTCATTTGCATTATGGTTTGGTGAGATACCTTTACAATTTGTGCAATTTTTCATTGAGAATATTTTGTATTTTGTAAAAGACATCTGATTTGAGTCATTTTTGTTGGTGTCTATAGCCTAAAATAGTTGTTCCTATAGCTAAAATTTTAAATAAAGAATTTAGACTTAAATTCTTTATTTAAATTAAATAAAAAACTTAGACTTTGGTGTATTTACATAAACAGAAAAAAAAACATTAAGGTCTTTATTTAATGGTTTAATGATTATTATTAAGTTAAAAAAAGAATTAATTAAATAAAGAACAGATGCTTTTAATTAATATAAATCACATTGAAACATCAATCAAACTAACAACTAAAAATAACCTTAAATTGTTCAATATGCGCCTATTTGAAAGGTGATTGCTAACAGTCACTATGAAAGGTGATTGCTAACAGCCAGAATTGCCTATTATTAAAGTTTTTATTAAATATTTCTAAGAATAGAAATAGCTTGGCATGTAACAAAAAGTAATATCATTTTTATTTTATCATATGTGGGTTTGAACGATCTATTGGAAATATATTATAAACGAACATGTGGTCCTAATGTGGTGGCCGACCACTATATATATATATATATATATATATATATATATATATATATATATATATATATATATAATATATATATATATATATATATATATATATATATATATATATATATATATATATATATATATATATATATATATATATATATATATATATATATATATATATATATATATATATATATATATATATATATATATATATATATATATATATATATATATATATATATTATTTGACAAGAATAATTTTAAGTAATTTTAGTTTTAATTGACAAGAATATTTTACGATTTTAACTGTTTCGGAATTAGAACTGTATTTTTATTTATCTTAATAAAAAGTAAATTTTAACTTAATCTATTTTTAAATATTTGTTATGTAGACTTAAGGGACGAAAATGAAGAAAACAAAAAAGAAGTCTCAGAAAGTTACGAAGATAATAATCCGTTACCAAGCTACACTATGTGTAATAATTTTTTTTCAAATCTTTTTAAAAAAATTTATATAAGTTTATTATTTGTTTATTATTTATTTATTATTGTTATAACCATTACGTCTAGTTAATAGCCGTATCTTAACTTTTTTTTATCCGCCAGATATATGAGTTTTGTTTATATTTAAAAAATTATATCATATTCTCTTTTATGTTATATTAAACATATTTTTGTTTAAAATAACATAAAACAGAATTTTTTGATATTTTGGCTTATTCTGGCTTATTAGGATTATTCATTATAAAACTCTAGTTTAAAGTAGTAATTGGATAGTTTAGAGTAATTTGATAAAGGATTATACTATATTAAACTACATTAGCCGAAAAACACGATATAATAATTTGTTACTAATAAAGAAGTAATTTTTTATCATTTATATATTAGATATACAGACCCGTGGCTAGGCTACCTTACATCCCCAACTACCGGAAGAAAGCAGCTTTTTTTTTTTTTTTTTTTTTGGATGGGGAAGGGAGGCTTTGATAACTACAGCAGTTATTTCTTTTAAGAAATATCTAGTTAAAAACTTTTTAAATTTGAGGTCCTTACCATAAGTTTACAAAAAGAGCCTAAAACTCTCAAGCCACAGCACAATATATACATATATATATATATATATATATTATATATATATATATATATATATATATATATATATATATACATATATATATATTTATATATATATATATATATATATATATATATATATATATATATATATATATATATATATATATATATATATATATATATATGTATATATATATATATATATATATATATATATATATATATATATATATATATATATATATATATATATATATATATATATATATATATATATATATATATATATATATATATATATATACACTTATAGCTGTATGCTCAAAAGTAAAAGCTCGAATTGCACGAGCATGTGAAGGAAACAACCTAATAATTAATTGCAACGGTAAGCAAAAGATAAATGTGTTTGATGCAAACTATGGAAGAACATCGTCTCAAATATGTTCTGGTCGTAATCCTACAAAAAGAAGTTTTGGAAAAGTCTTTGATTTGTCTAATAAATGTAACAATCAAAAGAAATCTTTAAATATCGTTCACAAGATGTGCTCAGGCAGGTCATATTGTGTTGTTCCAGCATCAAATGGGGTTTTTGGCGACCCATGTTTTGGAACATATAAATATCTTGAAGTGCATTTTTATTGTAAAAAGCGCTGAAACCTCATACTTTTATTTGAATATGTTTTTTTACTACTGGCAAAATAAAATATAATCAATTCGTGATTTATTTTTAATTTTTTTTAAATATGGTGTTATACTTGATTTTATAAAGTTTTTTGATAGAAATAAAGTTTTACTAAAGTTGACATTTTTAAACGTGTTTTGTATTTTAATCATATCAAACTTTTTTGCAAATCATAAACTTCCTTAATGTTTACCTTGATCTTCACCTAAAATATTAAAGATCTTGATGTTTTTTTGTTTGTCTTACCTTTCTAACATGCATATTTCAAAGTCCTATACATACAGAGAATAAGCACATGAACAAGCAATCTGATTTGTTGATTTTAAAAAATAGGCGTGCGAGCGTTTGTTAAAAAATGAGAGAAAAATCAAAGCCAAAAGTCTATCGAATTAAAAAAGTAATAGAACCATATCATCATCACAATTGAAGAAGAGAAATTTTAAATAAAATAGGTAACCCTTTTTAAATCTTCTCATTTTATCGACCGCCATTATATGACGGTCAATATATTGCTATTATATGGCGATATATTATGACCATTGCCATAACATCGTAAACAAATTACTTCTATAGCTTTTATAGCAAAATACTTCTAATAGCCTTAAAACTATTATATCACAAATAAGTAAGCTGAATAAACATGTTTATTTTTTTCGCCGTTGATTTAAACTAGAATGCATTGTACTGCAATAAGTTGTTGTTAACTTTTTAAAATCATTCTTTAAATTTTTAAGCCTGCGTGTATTACAAAAACCACTCATTCTGTAATCAATAAAATTTAAACTCTTAAAATTTAATAATACTGGTTTATATTGGTCAAATTTTAATTAAACAAGTTAAATAATGCTTTTATATATAAGGGAGTGTTTCAGTATTAAGAGATATTATTGCATCAGACCATAGAACATTAGTTTTTTTAATTTCTTAACAAATAGCATGCCTGCTGCAATAGATAGTATATTTACGGTGGAAGTATTGTCTAGAATACTCGTAGAACACGGTGGAAGTATTGTCTAGAATGCTGAATTGGCAAGCTTATATTTATATTATTTTAATAAGCAAAAGATTACAAACTTTAAAGAGTAAAAGTATCAGTTAGTATTTTTAATTGTTCTCTATTTCATGAATCTTTTGCTTCTGATATTATTCTTTTTTATATAACATTTTATGCAATCTGCTTGGTTTACCATACTACCACATAGTGGTTTTAAATTAGTAGATGTAAAAGGGGTCTTGAATTCACCCAAAGATGACCTTGTCTCCTTCAAATAGTCAAAAAAAAAACAATTTGAAACCCCTCTAAGATACCCTTTTTGACGCCTATTTTGAGCTGTTTTCTTCATGATCTTCCTTATGCAATCAAAAAAACATTTTAGCATTACTTAATCAATCAATCAATCAATCAATATATTTTCTGAAATATTTGGTATTACATTTCAAGGTTGCTTACAAATAGTATAAACTACTCATATTAAGTAAACACCTAATAACAATGATTAAAATAGTTATAGTAATAATAATAATAAAAATATTTATAATAAAATAATGATAAATACTAATAATAATAACAATAATAACAATAATAATAAATAATATTAATATATAATAATAATAATAATAACATGTTACTTTAAAAATAGTAATATTAATAATATAGTAATTAATATAAATAATATAGCAATTTAAATAAATCGGTATAACTTTCTATACAACAATCGCTTATACATGCAAAGTTACAGTAACAAACAGTAATAAACTGAAAAAACGTAACAACTAACGATGACATAAAAACAAGTATTGCTAAAAAAAATTATAATGATTTACTAAATATATTAATCATAACTCTTATAATATCATAACCATATTATTATAACTATAAATCATAGCTTTTATAATATCATAACCAGAGGCGGATTAAGACTTCTTGGGGCCCGGGGCTATTTTTGTTTTTTGGAGGCCTTTTTATTGGCCAGAGCCTAAAAATGACTACAAAAAAAAAAAAAAAGGTCCTCTAAAATATTTGGGGGCCGCTAAATTTGCCCCCCTCATGATCCGGCACTGATCATAACCAAAATATATTGCAAATAATAAATAAATAAAAATGTAAACAGAAACTAATTAAATAAAATGTAAACAGAAACACACTTAAAAAATCAAAAAAAAACAAAAGATACAACAAACTTTAAGAACAAAACAAAAAATTACGTTAAATATTTTTGACAACAAAAAAAAAACAATAAAAAAATAACAACATAAAATAAAAACTAAAAACAACAACAAATAAAGAAGAAAAATATATAATATTACATGATAGAATAAAGCATATATGATAAATAGCTAAAATGAAAATAAAAACAAATAATATATAACTGTATAAAAAATTATATATCACTATTTAAAAATAATTAATAACTAAAAAATAAAACAATAAATGACTAACAAAATATATAAAGTAAAACTTAATACGCTAAAAACTAAAGAAAAAACATTACTACAAGACCGCATAACAGCTAAACTAAAAAATAAATCGTAAATAAAGAATCCTAAGAAATATATGAAATAAACCTAAAGAAATATATGAAAAAATAAAAAAATCTTGATTTGCCAATCTTTTTTCGATGTATAGAAATAGTTATTATTTTCTTTCTTTTTCCATTCATTTTTATTTCATTCATTAGTTGTTGTTTTTTTTTAACTTCTATTTTTATTACTTTTTTACTTATTTCCTTTCAAATATTTCATTTTCTTTTCTTCTTTTAAAACATTTATTCATTCTTCTTTTTTAGTTGATTTTATTTTTCGTTTAATTTATAAATGTTTACATTTTTCTTTTTTCCTATTTTAAAAAGTTATTACCATCCGTTAGAAAAAAGCGTCCACCATTTGCCACCATCTTAAAACACCCCTCAGAGAGGCTCTTTTTTTAAAAAAAACTTTTTTATGAAAAATATTTTGACACACATCGAATAAACTTTTCTCACCACGGTTAAGTACTATTAGGCGGCCCTTCCATGGAGAGATGGATTTATATGAAACTTGAGAGAAACAACCTTTATCAAATCCAGCTATTGCCTCCATAAAAAAGAACAAAACAGTATCTAATTGTCCACTACCAGCAGTTCGAATTATAAGTATTTGGGTTCCAACTGTATTGATTGAAGTAGTTTCCGAAATCGAGTGCTAGAAATTTTTGGGTACCCGAAAAAAACCTTAAAGTTTCACAGTCTGAAAACCATTTTTAAATATATATTTGTATAATATATTTGTTTTATTACTTATATTGCGAGCCGAACTAGCAAAGCACTGTTAAGCATCTTCAAGGTGATAAAGTTGCATTCCGTTTCTGTAAAGTCTATTAAGCTGCCTATTAATAAGAACATTTAATTTGATTTTTCTGGTTATTTTGCAAAAGCTGTAGATTGGGGAACGTAAATTAAAACGTATTTTAAAGAATTGCATGCATTATTTACATCGAATAGCCATAAGGTTTTGGTTGAATTTTGTTGCATACGTCGATGATGAGCAACTTACTTTAATTAAAATTTAAAAAGTGAAACTCTACCGTAAGCGACTTTTTTTGCAAGCTGCTCGTTTTCAGCAACTTTATACTGCATAAATTAGCATAGCTAAATTAGCATAAAATAAATTAGTATTGCTAAATTATTTAAAGTATTAGAGCAGCCGAGGAATCAGTTACAAAGTAGCAGTTAAAACAAAAACTTGTCTTTGGACAGAAAATACGATTTCATATTCGAGTTGATCTGAAAACAATTAAGGGAACTCGACTATTAAGCATTTCAAAATCACGAGGCGCGCAATACTTTAAACCAGTGGGTACTGGACTTTGTCCAAGTACAAGAGATATTGTTGCATCCTGTTGTTGAATCAGTACTAGATTCAGATCTCAAAGGAGTTAAACTGCTCGGATCAGCCTGGTTGTCAATACTTTGCATTAATCTTTTTGGAAGAACTCGTACTGCTGAAATTAAGAACACATTTCGAACAGTCTAATTTTCTCCATGATCAAACCCTGTGGACACGCCGACGTCCATATGACGTTGAAAAGACGTCTTAAGTTTTTATTACAAAGCTTTTTTGATGATTTCCACGATCCTCGAATAATTTATTAAATAGTAAAAATAATTTTTTATTGATGACTGTCGAAAAAAAAACACATATAATGTATGGAAAATTTTTGAATATTCAAGTTTTTAGATAATTAAGTATTTTAAAGCTAAAGATTTAAAATACTAAAAAAAATGTATAAACTTTTTTACATGAAATTTTACAACTTGTATTTATTTAATGAACAAACACATAAACTCTTTTGTACAACACTGTGTTTACAAGTGAATAATAAATAATATTTTATAACTAACGTTATCATTTTTGGTTTAGAAGAATCGAATAAAACTGGTGGTGCAGATATAAAGAAAAATGACGAAAGTAAAGTTTTAGATTTATTTGTTTAAGTATCGATAGATAGACACCATTTGATTCGTGTGTTTAGATTAAAATCTAAAAAAGGTATCGCACCAGTAATTGTTGAGTTAAGAAATAAGAAAACAAGAAATGACTTTATAAAAAAATCATACCGTAACTTTAAGGATACTTATGTAAATCCTGATTTAATCAATGCCCAGAGAAACTTGGATTAACAACTCAAGGATAAATGTAGAGAATTAAATAAACTACTAAACCTGAAAATCGATTGGGATAAAGTTAAAAGCTATCACGTAATTAGTAATAAACAAGTGGTTTTAATAAACAAATAAAAATCATTGTTCAAATATTTACAGAGTAACACTAAGACAAATAATTATAAACACTCTATGCATGTTCCTTGTCAATATTTATATAACCAATATAACCAATTATATGACCCTGATACAGTCATTATATAACCCTGATACAGTCATTATATGACCCTGATACAGTCACTGGAGGAAAAAAGCATTTGGGTTCGAGTGTTAATACACTGTTGGTAAATGAAATGAATAAAGAACTTAAAAAAGGTTTAAAAACATAAAAAATTGATTATATAACAAGTTGGTAAACAAATGCAACTTCTATAAATAATAAATTTGACAAATTCATTGATTATATAACCAGATCTAAAGCTCAAGTTATATTTGTGTGCGAGGCATGATGGTCAATAATGTCTTCTAGTAATAGTCCGGGTTATAATCTGTTTAGAAAGGATCGCTAATTTAGTCGTGGTGGTCGGTATG